ATGGGTGTTGATTGTGGGTCCAAGTAAAATGAAATCCTTGACAATTCAATATTTTCTTCATTTATCATGATGTTGTTCATTGGTCCAGTTGTGAAGATTTTTATTTTGTGTTGAGCTGTAATCCATACTGAAGGCTATGGTCTTTGATCTTCACCAGTAAGTGCTTCAAGTCCTCTTCACTTTCAGCAAGCAAGGCTGTGTCATCTACATAATGCAGGTTGTTAATGAGTCTTCCACCAATCCTGATGCCAAGTTCTTCTTCACATAGACCAGCTTCTCAAATTATCTGCTCAGCATACAGACTGAATAAATACGGTGAAAGGATACAACCCTGACGCTCACGTTTCCTGATTTAAAGCATGCAGTATTCCCTTGTTCTTCTTGAACGACTGCCTCTTGGTCTAAGTGCAGGTTCTGCATGAGCACAATTAAGTGTTCTGGAATTCCCATTCTTCACAACGTTATCCACAATTCGTTATGACCCACAGTCGAATGCCTTTGCAGTCAATAAAATACAGGTAAACATTTTTCTGGTATTCTCTGCTTTCAGTCAAGATCCACTCGCATCAGCAATGATATCCCTTGTTCCAGTCCTCTTCTCAATCTGGCTTGAATTTCTGGCAGTTCCCTGTCAATGTACTGTTGCAACCGTTTTTGAATTCAACAAAATTTTACTTGTGTGTGATATCAATAATATTGCTTGATAATTTCCGCATTCTGTTAGATCATCTTTCTTTGGAATGGGCACAAATCTTCCAGTCAGTTGGCCAGATGTCTTCCAAATTTCTTGGCATAGACAGGCGAGCACCTCCAGTGCTGCATCCGTTTGCTGAAACATCTCAATTGATATTCTGTCAATTCCTGGAATCTTGTTTTTTGCCAATGCCTTCACTGCAGCTTGGACTTCTTCCTTCATTACCACTGATTCTTGAACATATACTACCTCCTGAAATGGGTGAACATCAACCCGTTATTTTTGGTACAGTGACTCTGTGTATTCCATCTTCTTTTGGTACTTTCTGCATCATTCAATATTTTGTCCATAGAATCCTTCAACATTGCAACTCAAAGCTTGAATTTTTCTTTAGTTCTTTCAGCTTGAGAAATGCTGAGTGTTCTTCCCTTTTGGTTTTCTATCTCCAGGTCATTGGACATCTCAGTATAATACTTCACTTTGTCTTCTCCGGCTACCCTTTGAAATCTTTTGTTCAGCTCTTTTATTTCATCATTTTCCCCATTCGCCTTAGCTACTCGAAGTTCAAGAACAAGTTTCAGAGTCTCTTCTGACACCCATTTTGGTCTTTTCTTTCTTTCCTGTCTTTTTAATGACCTGTTGCTTTCTGCATGTATGATGTCCCTGATGTCCCCCAAAACTCATCTGGTCTTCAGTCATTAGTGTTCAATGCATCAAATCTATTCTTGAGATGGTCTCTAAGTTCAGGTGGGATATACTCAAGGTCATACTTTGGCTTTCATGGACTTGTTTTAATTTTCTTCAGCTTCAACTTGAACTTGCAGATGAGCAATTGATGGTGTTCCGCAGTCAGCCCCTGATCTTGTTGTAACTGATGATACTGAACTTCTCCACTGTCTCTTTCACAGATGTAATTGATTTGATTCCTGTGTATTTCATCCAGCAAAGTCTACATGTACAGTTGCCACTGATGTTGAAAAAGACATCTGTGTTGAACAAGTTGTTGATTTTGCAAAATTCTATCATGCCATCTCCGGTGTTGTTTCTGTCACCAACACTGTATTTTCCAACTACCAATCCTTTCTTTCCAACTTTTGCATCCCAATCACCAGTGTTATGGATTGAACTGTATCCCTCCAAAATGTGTGTCAACTTGGGTAGGCCATGATTCCCAGGGTTGTGTGACTGTCCACCATTTTGTCATCTGATGTGATTTTCCCATGTGTTGTAAATCCTACCTCCATGATGTTAATGAGGCAAGATTAGAGAGTTATGTTAATGAGACAGGACTCTTATCTACCAGATTTGGTTGTATCTTAAGTCAATCGCTCTTGAGATATAAAAGAGAGAAGCTAGCAAAGAGACAGGGGGACCTCACCACCAAGAAAGTAAGAGCCAGGAGCAGAGTGTACGCTTTGGAACCCAAGGCCCCTGCGCTGAGAGGCTAGTCCAGGGGACGATTAATGACAAGGACCCTCCTCCAGAGCCGACAGAGAAAGAAAGCTTTCTCCTGGAGCTGATGCCCTGAATTTGGGCTTCTAGCCTACTGGACTGTGAGAGAAGAAACTTCTGTTTGTTGAAGCCATCCACTTGTGGTATTTCTGTTATAGCAGCACTAGACGACTAAAACCAAAACCAAAACCTGCTGTTGTCGAGTCGATTCTGATTCATAGTAACCCTACAGGACAGAGAACTGCCCCATAGGGTTTCCAAGCAGCGTCTGGTGGATTCGAACTGCCAACTTTTTGGTTAGCAGCCATAGCTCTTAACCACTATGCCACCAGGGTTTCCCAGATAACTAAGACAACCAGTAATTATCAATACATCTTGATTGCAAGTTTGATCAACTTCAGACTGCAGAAGTTGGTAAAAATCTTCAATTTCTTTATCTTTGGCATTAGTGGTTGGCGTGTAAATTTGAGTAATAGTCATAGTATTAACTAGACTCCCTTGTAGGCATATGGATGGTATCCTACCACTGACAGCGTTGTACTTCAGGACCAATCTTGAAATGTTCTTTTTGATGATGAGTGCAACATCATTCCTCTTTAATTTCTCACTCCTAGCATATGACTGTCCAATGCAAGATGGCCAATCCTTAATGCCTAGGATATCTATCTTCATGCATTCCATTTTAGAGCACTTACAATTTTCCTAGATTCATACTTCATACATTCTATGTTCTGATTATTAATGGATGTTTCTAGCTGTTTCTTCTCATCTTGAGTCATGCCACATCAGCACATGAAGGTCCCGAAAGTCATTAAGGTTGACTCACCTTTGAGGAGGCAGTTTTCTCCAGCCGTATTTTGAGTGCCTTCCAACCTGTGGGGCTCATCTTCTGGCACTGTATCAGACAAGTTCTGCTGCTATTTATAAGGTTTTCGTTCGTCAATTTTTTTTAGAAGGAGATTGCCATGTCCTTCTTCCTGGTCTTAGTCTGGAAGCTCCGCTGAAACTTGTCCACCATGGATGACCCTGATGGTATCTGAATACTGGTGGCATAGCTTACAATATCACAGAAACATGGAAGTCACCAGAGTGCAACAAACTGACAGATGCGTGGTGGTCATTTATTTCTAGGTCTTGATAAACGTCTGCTGAATGAGCAGGGACGGAGAGAAACGAAATGACTCAGATATTTTGAAGGAACAGGTAACATGTTAGTCGTGATGGAGAAAAATAGGCAAAAGAAAGTCTTCCCCACCTCCTAACTTTCTGGCTTAACTACTATCAGTGGTAGAATTCTTTTTTATTTGAGAACGTCCAGTTCCTTGTGATTTGAAGACTTTGGCAAATTGTAAGACCAGATACTGTACTTTTCCGAACATGAAAATGAGGTTGCTGATACAGAAAAAGGTAACACAGAACACAGTACTGTACAATGAGACAGCTCCTTCAGGGTCTAAAACATTTATCCACTATAAAAATGAATTCTCCCAACTGATCATGACTTCTATTTTGCTGCAACTGATTTTCTGGCAATAGGCCTGTTTATGGCATTAGACTGAATGGAATCCACAGTTCAATTTAAATAATCTATTTTTTCAGTCTCCAGTGCTGAACGCTTGCACAAAGGCTTCTCCTTAACTGTGTGTGAAGAATGGTGAACAGACTGCTTTCCTATGAAATTAATTCCTTTCAAAGTTACAAATACAAGCAACTGCTTTATGGGTAAGAGGTTTCCTCTTGGGTTGAGGAAAATGTTTTAAAACTAGGGAAAAGTGACGGCTGCACCACACCTTATGAATGTATTAAATGCCACTGAGCCGTACCCTTTAAAGTGGTTAATTTTATGTTATATGAATCATACCTCAATAAAAAAAAATCTTACAAATACACTACAGAGGGAACAATGTTAAGAGTGGTAAATTCTCGTGCCTGTTGAGTGTGTCTGACCTTTCACCCTGCAAACTCCCTGAGGGGAGCAATCTTTATCCTTCTTTGTCCGATGTAAGAGCCTACCGAAGCCTAGGATTCCTGGGGTGGGGGGCCGGAGGTGTGTGGCACAGATGTTTCACAAAGCATCTCAGGACAGCAGGAAGTAACCCTTTGTGCACAGCAAGGGGGGTGGGCTTTGTTATGGCTGCGCTCTCATTACAGACTCTTCCCCTTCTTCCATGCTGTCATTTGGTGAGCTTCACCCCTCTCCAAGCACCGCAAGCGATGCTGTTGTTAGTTGCAACTGAGCAGATTCCAAATCATGGCGACCCCACATGTGCAGAGCTGAAATGCTCTATAGGGTTTTCAAGGCTGTGATCTTTCAAAAGCAGGTCGCCAGGCCCGTCTTCCAAGCGCCTCTGGGAAAGTTCGAATTTTCTGGCTAGGAGCAGAGCGCTTAAGCATGTTTACGCCACCCAGAAAAGAATCCTGATTTATTCATCGAGATAGCCCTGGTGCTTAATTAGCATACTCAATCTCTGAACGACATCAGACACCAAACAACTGCAGCCCAGCAAAAACCTCAAGGAATAAGGCTTTAGGGGTCGTTTCTCGGCGCTAATTAAGGACACTGACCGCACAGCGCCGACCCGGCGACACGCGCAACGCCCCTTCCCCGCCCCCACGCGGCGGCCGCATGGCCTGCTGGGAAACGTAGTTTCCACTGCCCCCCGAGGTTCACTTCTCTCACCAGGGAGCCGACAAGGGAAAAGCAGTGACGCGACTGCGGAGCGGGACCCGGCGTCCCTCAGCTTGGCCGCGTCCGCGCCCTCTGCGTCCCCAGTCTCCGTCGCCGTGACCGCTCCTCGTAGGGGGCGGAGGTGAACCAATGTCACGACCTCGGCCGCGCGTCCCACGCACTCACCAGGGTGAGGGCAGCCCGGGTGGGCTGCAGCTTCCTCTTGCTCACAGCCCGGACTGTGGCTCGAACTAAGGAAGCTGACATCTTCACCGCCCCGGTGGCTCCGGCCGGAGCTCCGACTGCTCAACCTCTCTCCATGGACACGGCGCGCGCACTGACGCCACAAGCTCCGGCGCACGGCGGCCAGGCCCCGCCCCGCCCCGGCCCGCCCCCGCACCGCCCTCCACCGCCCACCGCCGCCATTGGCTGGGCAGCGTGAGTGACGGGCGGGCCGGTGCCTTCGCAGGCTGGTGAGCGCAGGAGCATGGAGAAATGTCGCCTCCGCAGGAGGAGGTTCTCGGCGTGACGTAGAGAGAGCGGTTGGTAGACGCGGAGTGACCTTCGTGACCTTGCTGACTCTGGAGGCGCTGCGCTTCAAGACTTGCCTCCTGGGCAACGTGCGGCGTCACCTCCTTTGATCCTCAGAATAACAAACGCATTAATAGGCTGTAAAGGCGCGATCTACTTCCAAAAATCAGCCAATGAAAACCCTAGGGATCGTAACAGTCCAATCTGCAACTGATCATGGGGATGGCACAAGATTGGGCAGCGTTTTGTTCAGTTGTGCATGGGGTCACCATGAGCCTGGGGTGACTTGAGGGCAACTAACAACAGAGGCTGAAGAACAGAGAGGAAAGTTAACCTAGCAAAGGGAGCTGGTGGTTCTCAAAGGCAGAATGGTTCTAACTTCCAGACATCTACATATATTTTCATTCTTCTTTTTGGTCCAGCCAGGCAGTTCTTCAGAGGTTAGAACTACCCCAGAGACTTGTCTAATAAGCAAACTACCACCCCCCACCTGGCCCCTACGCCGCACCCCAGGCTGTACTGCATGGGTTGTGGAAGGAGGAAACCTACTGTAAGATGTGACGCCACAGCACTGAAAACTCCCATTTATAGCGAGTACCAATCAATAAATTCCATCGAACATCCGTTTATCAGACCTTGTCCTGATTGCTCAGGATATGAATAAAATGGGTCTTAATTTTGTTAATTTAGCAAATATTTCTGAGCACTCACTGCCCACCCGGCACTGGCCAGCAGGCTCGGGCATACGCAGGATGTCCAGCAAACCAGAGGATCCAGGGAAGAATTAGAGGTCCAGGTGGGAGGACGGAAGTGCAGCAGGGTTAGCAATAGGTAAGGAGGAGAACATCAGAGCAGACAGCATTTCTTCCCAAGTGCTAGAGGTTAAGGGAGAAAGGAAGCAGAGGGTTCTGTGGAGTGGTGCTTGGGAGGCGATAGATGGTTCTGGCTCAGTGTTTTGACATGAAAAAAACTAAGCAAATCATTTTTAGAGCCATTTTTTCTTTCGTCCCCTAGTCTACAGGGTCATAAAGGGCAGTTCAAAATTCCTTTAAGTTCTGCCTATGCTAAGTGAAATGCATTGTCTATAAAAGGACCAAAAAAAAAAAAAAAACCACCACCAAACCCGTTGCGGTTGATTGCGACTCATAGCGACCCTATAGGACAGAGTAGAACTGCCCTATAGGGTTTCCAAGGAGCAGCTGGTGGATTCCAGCTGCCAACCTTTTGGTTAGCAGATGTAGTTCTTAACCACTGTGCCACCAGGGCCCCTATAAAAAGGACAGTTATTCCTAACTCTGGCTGTACACAGAAGAAACCATGGGATTGAGAGGTGGTAGGGTGGTGTGTTTGTCTCCTAACTTAATCATTGGCTAGCTGGGTGATTTGGGTAGGGCATTGTACTTCTCATGCCCTTCCTCATACAGGTGTTGTGAGGATGAAATGAGTCGATACATGAAAAGCCCTTAGAAGACTGCCTGGAACCTAGCAACACTCAATTAAACTTTGCTAATTGTTAAGTGGGTGTTTAAAGATGCCATGCATCATTTCTTCAGTTATTGTAATAGTATACAGTTGTGTAGCATTCTACAAGCTTCACAAGAACCTTGAGCACATTATCTCACACTAGCTTCATAACTTTGAGGTGAACACGCTAGGAGCGCAGGCGTGGCTATTTTACAAGTGAGGCTTAAACTCAAATCCCTTGTTCCAGGCAATGATGGCAGGGCAGCAGCTAAATTTTGTGATTCAGGATCCTGTGTATCTTAATAAACTATCCAGTTTTTAATTTGGTTAGCTGTTTTGCAGGTCCACAAAATAAGTTGGTATGTTAGAAGACTTTTCCTGATTACCAAGCAATATGTGAGCTGCTTTATCTCAGAGCAGCAGGTGTCCTGTGGTGTGGAAATGAGGTGGGTGTGGACACCTTTGAAGGGAGTTTGTAGGCTCTAAGCACTTTTAGATTTCCGCTACAATGGTAAAAACTTAGCACAGGGAAATGTTCAATACTCTGCTTCAGGATTCAGTTTCAGTTCCAAACATTTAAAAGTGTTTTGACTTCCTGGAGCCATGAAGGTTGGATGAACCCCTGAAACTATTGCCCTGAGGTAATCTTTAAACCTTAAACCAAAAATAGCCACCAAAGTCTTCTTAAAACCAAACAACAGTTTAGGCTAACTAGTAAAATATGTCTGCCTTAAGCATTCTTTTAAGACCTATATGTGATCAAAGTAACAACAGCAACTTGAAAGATTAGACAGGAAACTGAATGGGCAGTGAGTTTATGTTAATGGAGGAAGAGCCACACAGAAAAGGAGAGTGAGAATGGCTGCACAACTTGAAGAATGTAATCAACGACACTAAATGGTACACATAGAAACTGTTAAATTGGTGTATGCTTTGCTGTGTATATGCTCAACAACAAAATTAAAGGGAAAAAAAGTGTTTTCCTAGTAATACCTCACTTGATTCCCATGACTCTGTGGATCACTATTTTACAGGCAAAAAAGTGAACTGCCAAGAGGTTAGGGACTTGCCACACACAGCACTGGAAAACCAGCAGAGCCAGAACATTAAATTAAGTCTAAAATCTGCCTCAGTGAAAAGTGTGTTAAATTCTTGACTGCTGCTATCTAAACACACTTACTCTCAAAGAAAAAGATACCAAAGCACATCTTTACAGTTTTCTGGGGTTGGTTAAATTCTTCAACTTTTTTTTTTTTTTTTTAAAAAAGTCATCTGTGGAACACATTTCAAAATGAAAAATAAAATTACCTAAGCACATTTAAAAAAACATCTAAGTCTGTAAATTGCTGGTACTGTACATACTGAGCAACAGATAGAGAGTGTGGACTGGGGCCGCTGGACCACTGCTATATAAAGAAAGTTTCATACTTTCGTTTGTTCGTGAGAGAAAGAGGAAGGACCTTGTAGTGGGGCATTTGTGAAGCGTAACAGAGACCAGCTGCACGTGAAAGATAGCTGAGTCCAGGAAACTGGACCAAGTGCAGAGCAGACACATCTGTCCTCTAGCTGGGTGCTGAGAAGGGGCTCTGAGCAGCATCCAAATGAAGGGAGCAAAGAACCAAAGGCAATCCATTCACCAGGTCTGTGGCAAACACTGGTCATTTTCCCATTGATCCAGCGTGAGTAATTGAAAATCAAACAAAAACCCCAATACGCTGGGCAGAAAAGGAGCAAGGGAATATTTTGAAGGTTCAGAGGAAGCCCATCTTTCAAAAAAAAAAATCTACGATAGGAATCAGAATAAAATTTGTGATACAAGAAAACAATTTCTATGAAATGGAAGAGAACATAAAAGATGAGAGGAAAAGGAAGGTGGGGGACATAAGTTCTAGAAAATTAGAAGTGCAACCACAAAACTCCCATTGGAAACACAGAAGAGCAGAATGACTCTAAAAATTGAGCCAGCGATATGGAGATTAAATTTGAGAAGCTTTTCTAGCATGAAGAAAAGGAAAGAGATGATAAATGGAGAAATACTGAGAAAAGAGAGAAGTTTTTTGAGAAAAAAAAAAATTCTATTATACTTTCTCAAATTGGAAAAAAAAAATCTGAGTAGGAAAACGTATCGGCTCACTTTTGTTTCAGACAAGTCACTGAAGAGACAGTCTAGGGTGTGGTGATATCCCCCCTTAATTACAGAGACAGACACAAAGCATAGAAGCACCCAGGTAAAAAATTATGACCTACAAGGGAACGAAAATTAGGCTAGCCTCAGAGGGCAGAAGACAAAACACCATCAATTGGCTTTTCAAAGAAAGTGTGACTGGATGTCCAGTCAAGGTAACTTTCATGCGTGAAGGCAAGAGAAGAAATCAGAATAGGAAACTCATGTAGAGCCAAGTTTGAGCCCAAGTTGTACAATTCACTTGTAATTCATGAGTTTGTGTTCAAAATGAATCAGGAAAGATCACATTCTACCACGACTTCCTAATTCTAAAGTTCTTAATTTTGATGATTCTTCTTTGGCTGGAATATGTCTTCAGTTTTTGAAAAGGGGCATGTCAGTATGTACCTTCGGAGCCCTCTTGTATCTGAGGATGTTCGCCCAGCTGGCCCTCTGCACCCCTCCAATATGTATCCATGCCCATAAGGCTGCGCCTTGTCCTTGTGCACTGCAGTGCTTGGCACACAGTGCGTGTAAGTGAATGAAGTGAACGCATGATGAGCACAAGTCACAGAAACTCTGTGTGCACTCATTAAAGAAGAACAGATCTGTCCTGTGCTTTCTCCTTGATCTATTTTCCTTATGAAATTTAGGACTCTTTCGCTAGAAAATAATGTGGATAAAATTACAGGTTGAAAATCTGATTTTATTTCAAAATGATAAGTAAACCAAGGCAGAGTTCTGACCATGTAGTAATTCTGTACGGGGTGTGAAGTGAGAGAAACAGTTCCACGAGGGTTCCAGTCAGACCCGAAATGACACCAACCAACTTGGGATTGGCAGAGATAGCCTCTTTAATCTTCAGGGAATTTTTTAAAAGTTCTCCACTCTCATTTCTGAATTCATAAAAAGTAAAAAGCACTTTTATTTCGTCATTTTTCCTTTGAAAATGTTTTTAGAGGCGAACAGGACCACTTGTTTTTCCTTATTTCATTTTTATGAGCACAGTAATTATGTGTCAACTTACTTAAAATTAGAGAGAGAAAAAAACCCAAAACCCTTAGGGCACCGCTCATCCATCGAACGCTCACATAAATAGGTACTCATGTTCAGGTTTTCACTTTTTCTACAAACAGCAATAAAATGTTTGTAAATTGTAAACACAGTAGTAGCAGTTCACACATATTTGATACACTTCCACACGTGGATTCAGTAAACAACAATAAATATAATTTCCCCTCTTCAAAACAAAAAAGGGATTTATAGGGGGAAAAAAGGTTAATTTACTTGGGGTTTATCAGCACACCATTTTAGTGTACTTTGAAGGAATTAAAAACCATTGAACTGTATTCACTGAATACTGGCTCATAGTCACATCCTTTTTTTTTTTTTTAAACCTGGCTTATAAATACATACATCATGGCTTTCTATTAAAATCCTTAAATCTACGGGAATCTGTGGTAGATAAGAGTCTATTAAAATTTTTTTTCCTCATTAACAATTTCATTAAATTAAAAAAATCTGACATTTCCCCTAAATGTTAAGTTGAAGCCTGATCTATGCTGCTGTGTCCTGTGAAGTGAACCTAATTTTCAGAGTGAATATGAATGGCTGGATGGCCAGAGTGCTTCATTTTCATTCCCTCATGATTCCTGTTGGGTCCTCTTCGGTGAGGCTTTTCCCTGAGTCATGTATTTACTGGAAAGGCTACCTAGAGGAGGGGGGGAGAAACAAAACCCAACATAAATAAAACAAGCCTCACGTTATCTCAAAAGCTACAAAATTACTTCTTACTGTTAACAATTCACAGATACTTTTTTCACAGTGGAAATGGTCACTTGTTCTCAATTAAATAATTAGGCTAGACATTAAAGTTAAATATGGAACATGACCTATTACACACAAGCTTGGTCAAAATTCTTTTTAAATGCAGACAAGTTGCTAGAGTGATATAATTTTAACACATTTTCATGTTCACTATTTTCATGTTTGGATTGACACAGTGGTGGCAACAATGGGCTCAAACATAGCAACAATTTTAAGGATGTCACAGGAGTGGGCAACGTTTTATTCTGTTGTACACAGGGTCGATATGAGTTGGAGCCGACTTGACAACACCTAACAACAATTTTCATGTTGGTGCAGAGGGCCTGGTGAGTCCAATTTTTCAAAGGTTCTGCTTTGCATCGATCAGTGTCTTCATTTGCAACAAAACAGAATAGACTGCAAATAATTTTGGCCAGAAATAAGTATCTTGCATCATTACTCTGCAGATATGGTGGGTGGTGACACTGTAATAACTCACTGATATCAAAGGGCAAAAGAAAATTTATTACATGAATGAGAGTTGCTAATTAGTGACATATCACAGAACAATGAATAAATCTTGGTTCTGAACAAATAGATCAATGAAACAGATGGGAGTTGAGATATTTTGAAGTGATTATAAGGAAACAGTATATTATGAAGACAGTATTTCAAATCAATGGGGGAAGTATGAATTATTCAATAACTGGTATTATGTCAAATAACTACTTTTTTTTGGTGGGGCGATGTTTCCTTCCTCACACCATACCCTTCCTCCCCATGTAATTACAAATGAATCAGATTTAAATGTAAGTGAAACCATCAAAGTACAAGAAGTAGCAAATTGTGGGGTGAGGAAGAGTCTCCTAAGCACACTAGAATATGCTAGTATTGAAAGAACTTACAAATCAATGGAGAAAAAGATGAAAACAGATAGCTGGGTAAAGAAAAAGCAATACATGACAGAGGAAAAAAAATGACATGAGTATATGAAAAAATGGTCAATATCAATAGGTAACCAAAGAAATGTAAATTTAAACAAGATACCAATTTTTAAGTATTAAATTGTTAGAAGAAAGAAAATCAGGGTAGGGACAGGGTTAGAAATTTTGCTAAATAAATATTCATATAAGCATTAACAATAATTTACATATACAAACAACTGAAATGTCCAACACTTGTGCTATGACTAAGTATATTATCGACCGTGTACATAATAAAATACTAGACAGGCAAAGAAGGAGAATAAATAACGTAAAAAATAGCAACTTATAAAATCGTATGTATAGGATTTTCATAAAAACCAAAACTTAAAAAGACAAAAAATACTCCACCAATCATATGGTGCTTCATTTTCCTTATCCATAAAATGAGTGCAATAATTACACCTACTCCTTTGGAGTTATTGTAAAGATTAAATGAATTAATACATGTAAAGCAACTGGAACAGTACCTGGCACACAGAAAGTACTCAATAAATGTTAGCTATTACTATCACATTGATATAAAAAGTCAGGAAGACTTCACCTCCAAAATCTGAATAGTGGTTAATGCTAGAATGGAGGGAGTATATGGAGGGTTTATATTTTATTCATTTTGTTTAACTATACTCCAAATTTTCTAGAGCAAACATATTAAGTATGTACATAAAAACGTATACAAAAATAAAGCACACTTTTCAAAGCAAAGCATCTATATAATCAACTCACAGTGAAAAAATGAGTAATATCAGTCAGGAAGAAACAAAGCACTCTACTGTAGTATTTATTATACCAGGAGAGCATCTACTGGTCTACAGGCACACATCTTTGACATTCTGAACTGCACAAAGTGTTGAGAAGACTTTGGGGAAAAAGGATAAGATCCCTACCTCATACTTTACACACATATAAATTGCAGGTAGATTAAAGTTCGAGATAGGAAGACAAAGCTTTAAAGCTATTAAAAGAAAATATAGACGAATGTCTTTGTAACTTCAGGTTAGGGAGGATTTCTTAAAGATGAACCCAAAATCATGAATCAGATGATTATGAAAAACCAGTAATTTGATTATCTCAAAATTAAAAACTTGAAACAAAAAACAGAAAGACTAGATGTACTGGAAGATATTTGGAATGTATATAATAACAAAGGAGAAGCATTCAGAATAAATGAATGCTTACAGACTGATATGCAAAAGATAGTGCAATGGAAAAATGAGCGAATAAAGAATCTGAGCAGGCAGTTCACAGAAGAGGAAAATGGCCAATAAACCTAAGAAAAGCTGCTCAACATCACCAGAGTCTAGAAAATACACATTAGGACAACACCAAAGTATTTTCTCCCCATTATATTTGCAAAAATTAAAAAAGTCTCACAAAAACAAGTATTTGCAAGGATGTGTGGAAATAAGAACCCACACACTACTGCTGATGGGAGTGGCAATTATTTCAGCCACTAAAGGGGTGATCTAACAGTAAGTAAACTGAAAACGCACACATGCTATGACCTAACAATCTGACTTCCAGGTACACAAACCCTACAGAATCTCTCGCACATGCTCAAGGAGACTCGCACAAGAATGTTCACTATAGCACTGTTTCTAACAGCAAGTCAGACACAACCTAAAGGCTCATGTACTGGGTAATGGATAAAACATTCTGTATTCATATGATGGAACAGCATAAAAGAAAAAACTAAATCTAAAGACAGCAACATATAAATCTCATAATCATTTTGTTAAATACATATGAAAGAGCAGATTGTGGACATTCTTATTACACAGTAGGATATATCACTTAAATTAAAAAATTCACCAAGGATACATATTAAGGGATACATATGTAAGAGTTAAGAGTATAAAAAAAGAACTGGAAGGTTACTTAAACTGCCTCTGGTGCAGAGAGGGACATGAGGGGAACAGGCCTAGGGATGGTAGTCAAAGGGGACTTCTACCATCTTAGTGATCTTTTCTTTAAAAAAAATTTTTAAATGCCAATTCTCTAGTAGAAGATGGATTGTTATATTTTTTTTGAACTTTTTATATTTTCCAAAATAAAGACAATGTTAAGCCACTCTTTTCTATTAAATACACACACTTAAACATGTAATTATGTATATTAAAAAAACAAAATCCCACTGTACCTGAAGAAAGTTCATATAAAATACATACATGTAAAAAACAGAATATGAATTATTATATATCCCAGGAGAAAATCTATAAAATTTGTAAGCACGACTCAAAATCGTCCTCCCCAAACCTGCTAGATCAAACTAACAAATAAACATCTTGATGGCAAAACGTATCAGAAATGAGGCTGGAAGGACTATAAATGGGGTGGTGGTAAGGGATGGTGCAACACGCTTGACAAAGAGCTCCTAGAAACAAATATGGATACTCTAAATCAAACCTTGGGCCAAAGACATAAACATGAATAAACACAAATGAAAACCTGAGAAAAACGTTCGAGTTCAATGGCAATCACAGAACTTCAGATTGGCAAAATAAAAAAAGGCTATCCCCTAACGACAGTGAGGCTGTCATGGACTTTTTGGGATTTTCAACAACCACAACCTTTTGGCATTATTGGTATCACTGTCAAAATGTGTACACTTTTTAACCTATCATCTCTTAACTGGGAACATACCCTTGGGAAATAAGAAGGCAAATACACAAACATTCATTATACTGTTTTATATACACCGTAATCAACAAATTAGGATCCTTGAGCCTACGTGGCAGGACACTGGGCAAGGACAGAGTCCATTTCCAGCAACTCAACTTCTATGTGTAGTCTTTTTTAAAAATAACAGGCCCTAGAATGCCTTTGTGGTCAAGGCTTTAGGCTGGTTCTAATATTTGAGGTTCTCAAATATCAAATATTTTTGAAAATCATACCAGTTTTCCTTTCCAACTCCCCTTCCACAATTATTCTTCTACCTTACAGAACAGTGTTATCTCCTACCGATCCAAATCTTACTGTGGTGTGATGTCCTGGTGGTGAAAAAAACCCAGAGAGATGGGAAGGCAAAAAAATGCTGATTAAAAAAAGAAAAAAACAAACCTGTTGCCATCGAGTCTACTCCGACTCATAGTGACCCTACAGGACAGAGTAGAACTGCCCCACAGGGTTTCTCAGGAGTGCCTGGTGGATTCGAACTGCTGACTTTCTGGTTAGTAGCTGTAGCTCTTAACCACTACACCACCAGGGTTTCCAAAATGCTGACATCTGTGGTAAATGTGAATGCTTCTAATAAAAATCCAAATTCTCAGCTTTCATAAAATCCCACTGACAGCTGATGATCATTACAAATAAACTTTGATGATACATCACTATGTGATTTTTGGTCATGTTATTCCAAAGGAATTAAAGTAACTGAATGACACCGTTGTAATACATCTTCCATTCCCAGGTTGTTAAAACAAGTTATTTCTATTATTTTGAATTTACTATCATAGACCATAGAGGTTTCTCAATGCTTAACAACTAGAAAAACAAAAACATTAGGAATAGAAATAATAAGGAGCATTGTTTCACTCATGTGATAAGTAATACTCATCCAAAAACACATGAATGTATGGGGAAAAAAATCCCATTTATCTCATTAAATGAGTAATTTTCAATAGGCAAAAATACAAAGTAATTTTCAATAAAAATTTGTAACATAGTTGCTTTGATCAATTATATATTCTAATAATTACAAAAACTCAATTTAGAAGAAATTTTTATACTTTGAGACTTAATAAAAGTAAAAAAGAAAAAAACAATTCGTAGAAATACTTTTGTTGCAGATGATAGGCTGATCAGTAAAATATTTAACATTTCAGCCTGTTAGAGAAGAGCTGAAAATAGATGCTGGTGGGTATCAAACACAATGGTATTTATATTCCCTTTGATACATTTCAGGCTGATTTAAAAGTTGTATTTTAAAATGTCAATATTTACCCAAAAAATCCTAGAAATTACATACTTTGCAACTATGATGAAAAATTTGGATGCCAATTTAAAAATGTGCAAGGCAATATATGGGCTTTCAAAATTTAGGGGGACAGTATGCAAGCAAAAAAAGTTTTGAAGACGCTTGATATACCAAACAAACGGACATAGTCTAAATGTCCATTAATAAAGACTGATTAAATAAATAATTGTATATCTATATACTGGAATGTCAAGAAAGTTATCAGAAAGAATGGTCTATACTCACTGACAATGAGAGATCTTGCCAAACTGTTAAAAAAAAAAAGTTTCTATTATTTTTCACTTATTATCAAAAAAAAAAAAAAAAAGGTTTTTAAATTCTAAAGTGAACATCATCGTGAGGGAAAGAAGACATCCAACAATCTCTTTAGCATCTCCAATTTTTAAGATTTTAAGCCATGGGATTAAAGAGATAGAGGTTTTTCTAAAAAAAAATAATTTTCTTTGCCCTCCCAAAAAAAGGGAGGGACCCTAAGGAATATAGAAAAAAAGTTTTTTAAGATTTTCATACCTAAATAAACTACTATATGTAAAGCAGTCTATCAGTTTATGCATAAAAATCAGTTATGACAATGGTACTATATATGTTCCTTGCTAAAAACTTCCACTATATATTTATACTGTAAGTTAGAAGAGATGTTACAGTAAGGTTAGAGACTTTTGTTACCTACAGTACATAAAGGTAGTGATCATTTATTGAGTGATAATATGTGTCAGATGCTGCGTGAAGTGCTTTACGTATGAAGTTAATCCTTATAACACAGAGATATTAGCTCCAATTTACAGAGAAAGGAACTGAGGCACGGATAACCTGACAGAGGTCACACAGCTAGTAAATCATTGGGTTGGATTTCAAGTGCAAGTCTGTCTGACTCTATAGCTCATGTTCTTGAGCATTCTCCTAGTCTTTATTCCTTCAAAACCAGTACACCTCTCATCAATAAAACCTGGGGCATTGTGTTAGCTTGGGGGAGCGCACAGGGAGGAAGGGAAAAATGAAAAGCAAGGCAATTCATGGCATTAGGGTTGCTATGAGTTGAAACCCACTCGACAACAATGGGTACTATCTAGTTTGGAAGTTAAGAACTATATGTAGCCTGTTGTTGTTAGGTGCCGTTGACTCAGTTCCGACTCACAGCAACCTTACAGGACAGAGCAGAACTACCCATAAGGTTTCTAAGGAGTAGCTGGTGGATTTGAACTGCCGATCTTTTTGGTTAGCAACTGAGCTCTTAACCACTATACCACCAGGGCTGCATACATAGCCTAGTGGAAGGGAATGGAGGCAGTATCAGGAGAGGAAAGAGAACTTGCGCTTACTATGCTGGGTGCTTTGATCTTCTCAGCACCTTATGAGGTGGATGGTGCTATCACCCATCTTACAGGCAAGACATCGGGAGCTCAGAGAAACTGACTCCCTTGCCTAAGGTCCATATGGCAAATGTGTGAGAACTGGTAGTTTCCTAAAGACGGCCTGTTCTTTAGGAAACTACCAGTGGGTCACAGACATACTTGGTACTGTGGAAAGGAAGCGCCATTTCTAGGTACATGTCTAGCATCTGTACTTTCCCCACTTAAAAAAAAAAAAAAAGTATACATATATATATAAAATTATATTAAAATTCTACTTTCAAGATGTGTAAAATCTTTAGCAGGAACAATGCTGGCAGGAATAATACACTGGTGCAACCACTGTGACCATGGCCACAACTCCCACCACACTTTCCCTGCTTTCTAAGTGCTCTGACATGGATCTCTCAATAATCTAACCACTCAGGTATTATTAGTATTATCCCCTTTCTACAGATGAGGAAACTGAGGCATGTGGGGGATAAGCAGGCTGCTCAAGATCAACAATCTAGAGACACACCTAGGCAAGCTGCCAGCAGAGCCCATGTTCTTAAACACTATGCTTGCTACCTCATCCTTGGCAAACAAACACTTCAACTAAGAAGGTGGTGAGATTTATTTCTATATAAAATGTTCCCATTATCAATCAAGTCACCACACAATAGGCCTCATTCTGATTTCACTTCTGTTTATTTGGGGGTTTTTCCCAGGAGAGCTTTTCTTCTTTTTACATCATACTTGCTCCACTGAGAACAATTACAAAACCTCTCCAGGAAATAGCTGTGATCACGTGTTCTCACAGAGCTGTCTGCTTCCTTACCTTTCTTGTACAGCATTCACCTTTGGGTAAGGGGGTGGTGGTGATTCTTTGAAGATTTCTGTTTGTTTCATTTTGAATAATCCCACTTCATTCTGCATGCCACCATCAACCCTTACTTCTTTTACATTTTCATTGTAAACAGATTTAATGCCACTTCAAAAGTTTTTCTCAATCATTTACTTGCGAATTCATCCTGGTACTGACAGACACTTAAAATACTTAAATCCACTTATTTTCCTCCTATTTACAACATTCAAAATAGAGATAACCAAACAGATCTAGCCGGGAACTTTATTAGCTTCAGCTTTCCCTGGGTGAGATCCACAGACCAGGTTAGTGAAACCAGGGAAGAGCTCTACTGTGGGATGTAGGAGGCTGCCGAGCATCCGGGACAGATATTTTTCAACAACTGACAATGGATGGAAAGAGATCAGCTAGGACTGCATACTCTGTAACTAACAGACATCTCTCCAATCTAAAAGCAGATATTGTTTACTCATTAGCAATAAAATATACTATGTAAAAGACGAGCATACAATACGTGGGCTGTTTTACATCTTAGACACATAAATGTCAGGTTAAACAATGAAGTTTGAAAATTTCAAAAACTTAAAACTTTTCTCATAAACTGTATAGTTGAAAAAGACTACACGTACTCTATTTGCTTATATAATTCCCCCCTTTCAACCCTACTTTTATTGTACAAGGTAAATAAAGAGAGCGACTGAGCAAAGTTACCAAGGGTGCCTGTAGGCCAGAAACCAAATGTTCACAGGTTTTATAGTTTTATTCCTAACAAAAGCTAAAAAAGTTAGTATGTCGAAGTTACTGCTCCCCTCCCTCCTACCCTCCCTTCATTTTCTCCCTTCCCTTTCAGGACTGATAAGCACTCTTCAAACACAAGTAAAAGCCCTCAGAGCTTCAGTCCAGCCCCCCATAGCTTCTTCCACTGTGGCTCTGACACTTCGCACATATTGCAGAGGTGCAGTAGATCACACTTCCTCTTCTAGCATTTCTTGAACTCATGGCTATCGGGTGTTTCTCCCCTCCACTCCAAAGAAATGGCTCTTTTCAAAGTCTCTAGTGACTTCTACGCTGCCAAATCCAATGCCTAATCTCAGTCTGCATCTCACTGGACCTATGAGCAACAATCTTCACAATGATCAATCCCTCTTCTTTGAAGCACTTTTTTCATTTGGACTCCAGGACCCAATTCTCTTGATTCTTCCACCTCACTGACCACTTTTTCTCTGTCTCCTTTATTTCTCCCCAGTCTCTAAATGCGTTTCTCTTTTCGATCTGCATTTGCTGCCCAGGTGACCTCATCCTGATGCCGGGCTTTAAACACTACGCAAGCTGTCCACACGCTGGTAATACTCACACGTATCCACTGGGTAAGGGTGGTGATTCTTTGATATATGACAGGCTTATATATCCAACTGGCTACTTGTCATCTCTATGTGGATATCTACCAGGTGTCTTAAACTTACCATGTCTAAAACGGAACTCGATTTCTCCCCCAAATCAGCTCCTCCTAAGGCTTCCCCAGCTCAGTAAGTTTGACCTCCATCCTTCTAGATATTCAGGCCAAAAATCATAGTGTTATTTCTGACTCATTTCTCTCTCATACTTTACCATCCATTCATCAACAAATCTTGCTGGTTCTACCTTCAACATATCCATAATTTGACCACTCCTTACTTCCTTTACCACTACCACCCCAGTCTAACCATCATCTCTCTCCTGAGTTACTACAGTAGCCTCGTAGTTGGCTTATGAGTTTCCACCCTTCTGGCCTTAATAAACTTTTAAAAACAGAACCGGGATAATAGCATTCCTTTGCTCAAAATCCTCCAGTAGCTCCTCATCTCACTTAGCACATTGCTACAAGGCACTTCATGATCCAGGCACATCTACCTCACCTCTTACCACTCTCCGCCTTGCTCATTCCACTCCTGCTGCCCAGGTCTCAGCGATGTCCGAGGATCTGCATACAACAGCCTAACTCCACTTCCCCTTTGACTTGTTTCTTCATTTTGTTCAATTCTTTGCTTAAATGTTACTTTATCATAGAGGCCGCCTCCCTATCCAACATTGTCTTTTCCTGCTTTATATTTCTTCTAAGCACCTGTTGTCACATGAAATATTACTTACATATCTCCTTATCGTCTATCTTCTCTGAGAAGAATGTAGAGTAAGTGAAAACAAGAGCTTTGCTTGTTCACTGCTGTATCCTCAGTGTCTACGCTAGTGCCTAGCACTTAGCAAGTGGAGCTTAACATTCTTTGTTCAATGAATGAATGGAGCAGCAGAGAGACAGGAGACTTCAGACTAATAGTTACTTTCTTCCCTTACTTTGGGATATGGCAAATAACCTCTGTGAGGAGAATATACTGCTGGCAAGACAGTGGCAACTTCAAAGAAGAAGCAACAAACATGGCTGAGGAACAAATAACTGAACACTATGGTTCTTACTCAGGGGTGGAATAAAAATCATTTGGAACATTTAAAAATACACGTGCCCAAAACCAACCACTGATGAATCAGATTTAGTAAATGAAGAGGGGAATAGGGTAACTGTAATCTTAAAAGTTCCCAAGTGATTCTGATGTCCAGTTCCTGAGGAAGTGGGTCAAAAGGCATGTGGGAAACTATGCAGTAAAGAAAATAACAATATATTTGCTTTTTAAAACCCACATACCTGACTGGGGGCTCAAAAATATTGCTGTTTTTTGTTTCTTTTTGTCTTCATGTAAAAGCACTGCCTAAAAAACGAAATAGACTGGTTTATAAAACTGAAAGGAACAGCATCTGAAACAGCCTTAAAATGGTAACCATATCCAAGAAGGACAGCTGAAATTAGGAAGGTGAGTGGCAAAATTCTGCAAGCAAATTAAAAGCAAGACTCAGCTGCAGGGACACTTAAGAGCCGCCCTGCCACCCAGTGTGCAGCAAGCCTAGCCACACAGCACCCAGGGTGCAGACGGAAGGGGCAGTGAGGGCCAGTCAGAAGGAAGGAGCTGGGCCTGCGGCTGTCTCCGCACCTAACCGAGGACCCAGCACAGAGCCACCAGCACTCAGCAAAGGCTTCCTTCTGAGTTCTGAGCTACATTTACCTGAAAAAATGTGCCAGTTGGTCTCAAAGAGCTAGGTGAAGAAGGGGATCCAAATACACAATCTGATTTAGACAAACCTAAAGAAAGAAATTAGCACTTTTTGTTCTCACTTTAAGTTGGAAATAACAGCCTTGTCTTCAAACTTTTACATAAAGATTTTCTATTAGTACAAAAGAAGCTCCACTTAGTACATTGTGTGGACAAAACAATGTATCTGAAGCAACAAGAAGGAGCAGCACAATTTTTAGACAGGAAGAAGCTGATGATTATTGCTTAACTGCAATGGAAGGAAGTCCACTATACTCTAGTCCTACTATTCTCTTCTTATTTTACTTTTACAATATGATGACTCCTTAAATTAGCATGTACATACTGCATTCTAAAGAAATCAAGACTCTAGATGAATGCTTCTCCTCAGGACTGATACTCTGCAGGAGACCTCTGTCTTTCTGATTCTAGATTCCCTGCTCTAACTACTCGAGAATTTCATTAGTAGACAAGTTAAAACTTACTACCAGATAGAACGAAGAAATACACCCAAGGTGGGGGAGCCCAGCATTCCTTCACTGCTTTGCTCTCCCAAAGCAGAGCACAATGCTAACTTGCTTTATGCTATTAGTAAGCACAGACCTTGCACTCTTATGGAGGGTAGCCTACAAAAATAATTTTGATAAAACTATAGTAAATCTTATCTATACTGCAGTTTCCTCAACTGTAAAATGGAGATATTAATAACACTATACTTAACAGCACCACACTAATGCTGTGAAATTAAATAATTCATGTAAAGTGCTTAAAATGGTGCCTGACCATTGTAAATGCTCAATGAATGTTAACTATTGCTAATATTTTAATTTCTTTTAAATAGATTTGCCTCTTACAATCATAAAATAATTTTTTTGCTGTATGTCCCATGTCAGGGCAAAAAACTCTGAATTTGCCTGAGTTCCTTAGAAGTAATAAACACCGGAGCATTTTAAGGAAATTATTAAGCAGTACTGCCTTTTTTTCACAAACATATTAACTGAAGACAGCGACAGGGTTACTATTGCAGTTCTGGGTTTCTGTGAAGAATCAAAAAAATTACTCCCCAAGGATTCTTTCCTTTGCTTATAAAATTTCATCCACTTCCGCAGGTTTGTTCTGAAAGTGTATAAACTGCTTTGTAAATCATAACTTATTAAACACATATAAGGTTCCATTACTTTTAACAGTTTGCTAAAGAGGTACCCACAATGGATACTCACTCATTTAACAGAAATGGCCAATTCATATTTAACAACTCAAAGGGGCAAGATCTGTGGATGATTTTGAACTACTTACTGATACAGTTTTCCTCATCACAAGAATAGTCACGTTCACTGCAGAAACTTGATAAAATTCTCCATAGCCACCTCCCCAGAGATATACTCACTGTTAATAGTGTATTTCCTGGGTGGTGTAAACTGTTAACAAACTCAGCTGTTAACCAAAAGGTTGGCAGTTCCAATCCAACCAGACGCACCTCAGAAGAAAAACCTGGTGATCTACTTCCAAAGAATCCATCACTGAAAACCATATGAAGCATATTCTACCCTGACACACATGGTGTTGCCCTGAACCAGAACCAACCCGGCAGCAACTGCTGTATTTCCGTCTATTCCCTTTGCTATGCGTGTGGTATGCGTATTTAAAGGAAAATACAACTGGCTCAGCTGCATACAAAGTATGGTATCCCAAGGTAACCTCAGCTACTGCCTCTCACCTGTCCCACAGTGTTCTGATTTCCTAAGTGCACATACTGAGCAGTGAGGCTCCAGTTGTAGTTTGTGTTCTGGTCACTTCGTCTACATTTTTAGATATTGGGAATGACTAGGGAACTTTTCATTTCAGAACAATCTTAGAAAAGTCAACCAAATGACTTTCATAAGACTTGAAACAAAACCAGGGATAAGTACTTACGACGTACAGAGGTTCAGAGTTAAAGAGGAGGATTTCACTTTCTTAAAAACAAAATCTACTTTTAAAAAGTATACATATACTTATACACACACACACACACACACACACACACACACACAAAACAAATATAATTAAAATAGAAAAGAACTCTAAAGAAGAGATTTCCCTTAAGACGTCAATGCAAACATCAAGGTGTAGTTGGTGTCCATACCTGAAGAGCCTTTAAACTGTGGGCATTCTTTTTTAATGTGCCCTTCTCGTCCACAAATAAAACAACGTTTTTCTCTTAAGTCTCTGTCATCCTGTCTCTTCCACTTCTCCAATGGAGGCCTGAGAAGCTTGTCTCTCCCCAGGTCGACAGCAGGCCTCACTGGCTTAGTTTTCTGAGGCGTGCACTGCAGGGGCTTATCTTCTTTTGCTGCCGCCTCCCTTTCTGTGTACTTGTTATGAACTTCTTTGTCCTCTTTGCTTCTTTTTTCTTTGCTCTCAGGGTATCTTTGGTTTGGGGTATCTTCTTGATCTCGCCGCCGCCTCACTCTGCAGAAAATATAACACTAGTTAGAAAAATTTAAACAGAAACCTAACAAAATATTAAAATACCTTCAGATATAGGAGATAACCACAAATGGAAGGCATCAAAGGGAAAAACAAGAATTTAACACATCTAAGTCATCTTCTTTACTCAGAAGCTACCTCAGAGCTAAAAGATGTAATTTGTCTTTTTTGTATTTACACAACTGCTCTCGAGTCACAAAATCAAGTTTTCCAATTAGTGGAACTCCTCGGTTCAATAATTACTTTGATACTGATGCACTGAAACTCAAATTACCCAAGCCTGGGATGCTTTCTTGAATAACCATTCTGGTGCGTTAGCATTCTTTACTGGGCACTGGAAATTTGAGATACAAAACTTTTAAGTTCCATAAGGGAACAATGGTTACAGGAGATTTATGTTCTTAAAACGTCAAAATTATTTCTTCCTTGTCCTACATGGTCAGGGACTATTATATGAATAAACAAAAAAACTACTAAAAAAGAGCTTGTAAAACTCCAGTGAAGACTTATTTTGGTGGACATGTCTTTAAAAAAGATATCAGTGTAGAGAGAAAAATCTGCCACCATCACCACCAAAACCAATATAACCCAACCAAGCAACCAAAAATGCACACCCCCATGCCACCCCAATTAAAGCCACAGACTACAGAGGAGATTACCTGCTCATAGCATTTATTTACAAACCAGCTGCTGTCGAGTCGATTCTGACTCACAGCAACCCCATGTGTCCAGGGTAGAACTATGATTCATGGGGTTTCAAATTTTTTTAAAATTATTTTGTTTCTTTCTTTTTTTTCCTTTAATTGGGGTAAATATATAAGTAACAAAACATTTGCCATTTCAACAATCATCATAAGCACAATTCAGTAACATTAAACATTTTCATCATGTTGCTCAACCATCACCATTAACCATTCCCTAATTTTTCTATCACTCTTCACAGAAGCTCAATATCCCCTAAGCATTACTTTATTGTTGTTGTTGAGAATATACACAGCAAAAACATACACCAATTCAAATTTCTACTTGTATACTTCAGTGACATTGATTACATTCTTCCAGCTATGCAATCATTCTCACCCTCCTTTTCTGAGTTGTTCATCCCTCATTAACATAAATCTACTGCCCCTTAAGGTTTCTAGCTAATCTTTCAAGTTGCTGTTGTCACTTTAATCCCATATAAATAGTTCTTAAAAGGGCATAATGTTCAAGGCAGACATTTTTCAACAGTTAGGCTAAACAATTGTTTGGTTTTAAGAAGACTTCAGGGGATATTTTTGGTTTAAAGGTTTAAAGATTATGTCTTATCTTAGGGCAGTAGTTTCAAAGGTTCATCCACCCTCCACGGCTCCAGAAAGTATAGAATTCAAAATTCTGTTCTGCATTCCCCCTTTTGATCAGGATTCTTTTATAGATTATTTCATCCAAATGTTCAGTAATGGTAGCCAGGCACTATCCAGTTCTTCTGATCTCATGGCAAAGGAAGCAGTTGTTAATGGAGGCAATTAGACACATACTCCATATCCTCCTCCCATTCTTAACTCTTCCTTCTTCCTCTGTTGCTCCAGGCAAATAGAGACCAATTGTTGTGCCTTGGATGGCTGCTTGCAAGCTTTTAAGACCCCAGGCACTATGCAAAGAATTCGGAGGTAGAACAGTAGCACTAAACATGCTATTAGGCCAATTAACTGGAACGTCCCATGAAATCAAGACCCTAAACCTCCAAACCAAGGAACCAAACCCCATGAGATGTCTGGTTGTTACATAATCCATAGGGTTTTCAATGGCTGACTTTTCAGAAGTAGATTGCCAGGCCTTTCTTCTGACATAGCTGTATAAACTCGAACCTCCAACTTTTTGGTTAGTAGCTGAACGTGTTAACTGTTTGCACCACTCAGGGACTCCACAGCATTTATTAGCTTAGAGTTAAGATAAGTACAAATGAAGGATTCTATAGTCCAGTAAACTGTTAGTATAAATCCTAACATTATACATCTCAGTTATTGTACTTACAAGAAATGACATCTAAAGGAACTCATTTCTTTTCATTGACTGAAATGGTTCTGACATTTTAACTGCTGTAAAAGGGAAAATTTTAGTTTCCCCTTTTTTTCCTTCCATCTCTGTTGGAAGGCTAATGATTTGGGCCAAGGGTGGATTATCCCATAAGCAACGTAAGTGCAATGCTTACCTTCCTTAACAGATCATCTGCAATGAACAATTGTTCACTACAGATCTCAGTTATTAAGCAGAAGTAAGCCCGTGCTTACCTTGCTTACTGGGTTCTCTGCCTCTGTCAGGGATTGTAAATTTAAAAAGAGGCTTTGATTCTGTAGGACGGTGCTGTGGGGTTGAGACAGACAGATTCCAGCCATACCTAGAAGCAGAGTCTTTGACGTGGTGAAAAAATGTGAAACTGCTCATTACAGATGATCTGGTAAGCAAGGTAAGGACTGTGCTTACCTTGCTTATTGGATAATCCACCCGATTTGGGCCATGATCAAAATTAGAAAAGGGGAACATACACCTAAGTCAAAGCTAGTCACCTGCACTTAAAACCATATTTTGAATCACTTCATTGTCATTAAAGTTTGAAAAAATACTACCTGAAAACTGCTGGATTTTATACAAATTTATTTCCTCTGTTTCAACAGAACCTCATTCAAAAGCTGAAATAGTAAGAAAATAAAAATAAAACCATCCCTTTTCTGTATTAACTTACTTTCTCCTCATAGGACAGTCCTTCATGAAGTGTCCAATCTTCCCACAAATTCGGCAACATCTATCATTTGGGGCCAGCTCTCCTTCAGTTAGTACATCTGGATCAAAAAAATACTCCTAGAAGAACACAGATAGAAAAGTCTGACTGTCAGCGTGACAGCAAAACACAGAAACCAAGCAGATATCAAACGGGGATCTGGCATCTCAACTTTTGACACGTTGTTATTTTTAATAAACATTATTTATATTGTTTAATTTCAAGAAAATCTAAAACCAGTAAAAGGTCTGGTTCAGGACAGTTCTACCTAAATCCATTTCTGTTAATTCCGTTTAATTGCGCACGGCACTATTCTGCCCTAACCATAAATGTAACTCTTTTTATAAGCACACTTCCAAAAAAGGCATAATTTTTAATAAAATTTTGTAATGTAATTTTTGTTTTGTTTTAAATGAGTGCAGCCCTTAAAAACACGACTATCGAGTCACACCAGAATGGACAGCTCTATCATCCACAGCATTGCCACTCTCCTAGCCCTGCCAAGAGGATTTTTTATTCTTTGCAAGCAAACCAAAAGAATCTAGACTGCCTCTCCTCTGCCATCGTGAAGTGAGTGGAGCATATCCTTAAACGTGAGCAAACCAGGCTTGGCTGAGATTAGCACGAAGTTGAAGCTGGCAGAACAACAATGCCACCTACTACACTTTACCTTGGCTAGGCTCACCAGACTTTCAAAGTATTTAAGTTATTTCTGAAGCAATGTGCACAAATTATGTGCTTAATAAAGGCTTTTAGACTTGGTTTTTTGGTATACTCAACAGACACTTACCATTTTGGAGGGGTAGTCCTTCGGAAATCCTTTGACTGGACTTCCAAATACTCTTCTCCCATTAATAAAAGCTTTCATTATAAAATTCGTCACTAAGGAGAAAGGAGTAAGAGCCCAGTTAGGTGTATTACAAGGAAAACAGACCTCATTAAAATTTACAAACAAAATAACTTACTTTTCCTTGATAATCCAGCTCCAAGATTATGATTCAAATCAAAGGGATCTAAGTAAAGAAAATTAAGGAAAGCAAGTAAGATAATGAAATAGGAAATGCCACTATGAATCTAGTAAGTGAAGTACATAATAATAAGGAGAAAGTGCCACACACTTTGCTTATCAGTACTAAGAGCATTAAATGGCAGTCTTTTAAATGAGTTTAAAATCTGTAATACAGCTGAGTAATAGATATTCTTAAATATAAGGCAAGGTTTTCCCCAAAAGGGTCCATCAGAAAAGAGTGCTGCCTTATATGTGAATCTTAATGATGTATTAGAGGTCTAAAGAAATTGTTTCATGAAATAAATGGGGGTAGAAGCACTGTTTTTAAACTTAACATACTGTTTTGTATATGACTTTAAATAATTTACATATTAATTCATAATTAAAATATTATGTATACACTTTTGATTATTTTCTACATGCCTAAAAACATATTCAAGAATGCAAAGAAGAAAAAAAAAAAGGCCCAAACTTTTTTGGGGTATCATGTCATTGAGAAAATAGAGGATTGCATGTATACAGTATAAACAGGAGTGAAGAAGTAAAAAAAGGTCGTCTTCAAGCTGTCGGTTACACTTCTAAGGCACAGTAACTGAGGTGGACCATGTTGGGATGTAGACTCACTAACACTTTACTGGAGTACAGGACCCTGCCCTCAGCCTTGCTATACTCTAAGAATTGCTATGAATGAGAAGGCTATCTTCTTAGCCAGTTTCGTCACTATGCTTTTTCTTTTAAATTTTGGTGAAAGTATACACAGCCAAAGAAACACCATTTCAACAATTTCTACACGTGTAATTCAGTGACACTGGTTACATCCTTCAAGTTGTGCCACCACTCCCATCATCCTTTTCCACATTATTCCTTATTCCACCATCATCTTAAACTCACTGCCCCCCAAGCTTCCCATCAAACCTTTCGAGTTGCCACTGTCAATTTGATCTCATATAGAAAATTATTTAAAAGAGCACAATGCTCAAAGCAGATGTACTTTACCAATTAAACTATCTTTTCATTCAAAGACAACTTCAGGGAATAGTTTTGGTTTAAGGTTTAAAGTTTAAAGATTACCTCAGGGCAATAGTTTTGGGGCCCATCCATCCTCAATGGCTCCAGAAATTCTGGATTCCACGGTCACTATGCTTTCTTACGGTGATTTTACGTGTGCATGTGTGGAGTTATTTGTGTAGTACAGATAGCACATATTAACTTTGGAACAGTTAAAAACACTACCACTACTACCATTGAAATTACTCAGTTCCATCACAACTGGTTACATAAGCATGTAGGAAGTCTTCTTTCTAGCTTAGCCTATTCCTAAGCACTCATCTAAAACGTATGTAAAAATTAAAAGAAAAATGTATGTAAAAATTAAAAGCAAAATGTTAAGTGTTCAAAAGTCAAAACAGAACATTAATGGTCAGACCATAAGAACCCACTGTGACAAGGAAAAGAAATAAAACAAACTTCTATGTTTTTGATGTATGAGATCCTAGAAAGTTAAAAATGTATCTATAACCCACTGTGGGCTGAACTTCATTTTACAAATGTTCCACGTATTTTAATACTATCAATAGGCAAAAGAAATGATGAAAGCATAGACTAGAGAAACACCAATCCTATTACTTAGGTGATATCAGTATATTTAAAAAATAAAAGAATACTATTAAAATTAACAAAATATTTCTTAAAGCCATTTCTCAGATCAGTTTTAAGTATTTTAACTCCATTTTGTCCTTTTAAAAGTAAAGCCCCACAAATTGGAAATAAGCAATCAACTATAACCATTAGTAGCCTTGCATTCAGATGGAGAAAGAGAAGACCTCGGTATGCCCAGAATTTATATAATTATTAGTAGCTAAATTCCTCCATGAAGAGCAAACAAGGATCTTGAAAACTTACCCTTATTGTACTCTTCACACCCTCAATTACGAAGCTTTAGGAAAAAAAAAATGTCACTCTCTTGAAGGTGGCTTCTCTCAACTGCTACCTTACTTTCCAGTATGTGGCAACAACAGTAAAAGATCTGTCATGATTCACCAAGATTTGCCATGGTGAACAATGACTTTCGGATTTGTGACAGGCCCCCCCGAAGGCATCAGTCACTTACAAATCATTCTTCGGGCTGGAAAGAGACAGGCTTGCCTGAGGTGGACAGTCTCCAGGCAGCAGGCCCTAGCACCTGCAAGAGCTCTGTAAGGATGAAGAGCATCGCCTTCATAGTTAAAACTGCACATTCAATTCCATTTTAAGTTGGATTTTATCTGTACCTTCAATAACAATGTATTTTGAAGTCCACTGTTTCTTAAAAGTTGTAAGCAAACTTCTTCTCCTGATGCTAATAACATGTTCTTTAAAATCAAAGTCCTCTGTGTAAAAACGAAGAAGTCCCAACCATAGCTGCCCAACAGATTCTGTATTTTTTCCATATTCTGGCCAATAGGTGGGCTGGAAATAAAAGGAAACAATGGCTATCACACACTATACTGAAGTGCTAATATCACTATTCATTTTATCCTAGAAAATAAATTAGGACTTATTTCTAATTAAGTAGAGTGTAAATAAACAAAACATATAATTATGTAACTTTTCTTTCATATTTTAAAATGTAATGTACATGAATTCATTCATTGCTACCCTGACTTGGTGATAGGGCAAGCTCAGGGTTTTAAATGCCAACCTGAGAACACACAGTCTGTTAACCCCGTAATTCACTGTCATCGAGTCGACTCCAACTCACAGTGACCCTGTAAGGACACAGTATAAGTGTCCCATAGAGTTTCCAAGGGTGTAATCTTTACAGAAGCAGACTGTCACATCTTTCTCCCATGGAGCAGGTGATGGGTTCGAACCACCAACCTTCTGGTTAACAACCAAAGCTTTAATCACTGTATCACCAGAGCCCTTACACAGTCTGTTATTGGAAAAAATGAAAATAAATTCCGAGTCTTGGTGACTCCTAGGTTTCTATAACTCAAAGAAAGTCCTTCCAGACTCTCAGAGCAAAATCGTAGGTGCAAATATTCATTCCTCCTGAACAAAGCTACCTAACCATGTGAAATTATTAGGCATTAAAGAAATCCTGGATATAGTCCCTAGAAACCTCCCTGGCTCAACAATGATGTTTTCGACTTCAAATGAAACATCTGTATATGCTAGTCTTCTACTATCATAATACAAATAAACATAAGAAGCAGTAACATAGTTGATCTACACTACAGCATATTATAGCTAACTTTTGGTTAAAGATGTAAGAAGATCTTCACTCTTAAAATACGTACCAGTTCGTCTATTTGATCAAAAAAATAAGTATTCCAGCCATCAACAAATATTTCAGGTTTCTTTTCATCTTTGTATATCTGAAATTAATTTATAAAACATTAGTATGGAGCACAAACTTAATGCATTGAAACAAAAACTTGGAAAATAGTTAAAAATTTAACTACAGAACCACAGAATTTTAGAGCAGGAAGACAGCTCAAAGATCACCAGGATTTACAAATAAGAAATACAATGTCTTTTACTAATACCTCTTGAAGGACAGGGATGACTGGTGGATTTCTCTGCTGGAGAAAATATAGCACCATAAGAGTGTATGCATATGATGATAAGCTGCCTCTAGATGCATCACCAATATCACACATCTAGAAGGAAAGAAAACCAGGAACAAAGGAAAGATCACCAATGTTTTCTGCTAAATTTGTAGCTATTCTATTAAAAGTAAGGAATAGCTATGCAAGATGGATTTTACTTAGAGGACTAAAATAAAAACCCCATTTTCAAATGCCAAATTTCTCCAACCAAACCAACTAAACAAAACACTGATTAAACCAACCAACCTCAGTATTCTGTTTTATTGCTGTTATTACAACAAAGCAGCAAAAATATCAGCAACAATCAAGACAAAATTATCATGTAAAATTGAAAAACAACAAAATTTTAGCTAGCTGAGTCAGGTTTGCAAAAAAAAGGAAGAACCCTGGTGTCATAGTGGTTAAGAGCTTGGCTGCTAGCCAAAAGGTCAGCAGTTCAAATCCAGCAGCTGCTCCTTAGAAACCCTATGGGGCAGTTCTACTCTGTCCTATAGGGCACTATGAGTCAGAATCGAATGGATGGCACCTAACAACAACAATATGGTTCTTCAAAGGAGCCCCAGTGGTACAGTGGTTAAGCACTTGGCTGCTAACCAAAAGGTTGGTGGTTTGAAACCATTAGTCGCTCTGCAGGAAGAGGATGTGCCAATCTGCTTCTGTAAAGATTAGTCTTGGAAACTCTTGGGACAGTTCTATTTGGTCATACAGGGTTGCTATGAGTCAAAACTAACTAGGTGGCAACTGGTTGGATTTTTGGTATGGTTCTTTAAAAAACATAGCTTATGTTTCCAACAAAGTTCGAAGATGCAATAAAATTTCCTGATACATCACAACTGGAAGGATACTTACCTTTGTAAATACTTTCATGGTATAGCACAAGTATTTCACTCTGGGGTCAATGGCTGAATAAGCAGATAAGAGCCTTGTATTATGAAGGGCCTGTTAAAAGGAAAAATTACACCATAAGCTTATCAATTAAAAGAAAACTTTTTAAACTGCAATATTCTGACAATACAAGATTTACATTGTGATTCATCTTACGAAGAAGACATTAAGATTGAAGTTAGTCTTCTTTCCCCAAAGATAAGTTTCATAATTTATGAGATAATAACTAAGAATTATAGGTAACATCTAATTTCATGACTTACATCGTTAATGTGTTTTTAGTCTGAATACTTCCCAGAAAACAGGGGCTATCAGAATGAATACTAATATTAATTTAATTTTGTTATATACATATACCCAGTCTCAGAACACTGCCTGACATGGCAAGCACTCACTAAATAATTGTTGAAAGAATGAGTAAGATGAAATGAGTGGCTCATTCAACTTGAGATTTTCTAAGTTCAGATATTAGTTCCCCTTAACCTCCCTAAAGAAGAAGCCTGGAGAAAATCTTACCAATGTGTTATACAGACTGATATCCACTTCCAGACCACTTCTCGAATGGATGAACTTTACAATTGGCACCTTTGCTGTTGTAATAGGTAAGATGTTTCTCAGACCTAGGTTGGGAAATAAGATCGTATCATTAAATACAACAGCTGGGGGATATAACTGGCTCGTATGTTAAGGTTCTATCAGAAAACCTTGCAAACCTAATTCTGACTTGTGTCACTGCATTCACTTAGGGCTCGCCAAGAATTCTCTGTTATTAACAGGTCTGGGAAGACTTCTGGCAAAGTTCACATTTTGTTCAGTATATCGATATTTGACCTACAGGAACAAACAAGGCCACCACTGCCTTTCAGGAACTTACTGGATCTTGCGTGCATGTGTATATACATGTGTAGGAGACTCAGTCTGATAAACACCGAAAGACAGGAAAGAACTAGAGTCTGGAACATATAGGACCTGCCTATTCTCTCGCTATGCGTATATCTAATTTGGAGAAAAGCCAATGGTGCAATCATCTGAATCATCAGAACAAGTTACTACCATAGAACTAGAAGTTACGAAGGTAGTAAAAAGAAATCAACTCCAATGGGAGGAGGAAATTGTCTTAGTTTTTTTTCCCGAGCTAGGCTTTCAAAAGAACGGGCAAAAGGTGGAGGTTGAGGGGACTTAGTAGGCAAGGAAAACTGCACATGAGAAAGGACCGTGCCTGAAATAAAATGGCACATTCCAGCGACATCCACGAGATTCTACAGGCTGGAGAAAAGACCTGAGGGAAAGGAATAATGACTAATACAAGATGGGCAGAAACTGGGAAGAACCCTAGTAAAGAATGTGTATGTTCTGCTAAGAAGTAGCCTTAGAAAAAAAGAGAAGCCAATAAGCTAGCATAAGTTGGGGAGAATCACTGGTCACATCTATTTAGAAAATGCTCCTGGCAATGGATAGATTAGAGGTACAGGAATAGAGGCAAAACTATCATGGCGGCAGTGGAAATGCAAAGGAAAAACAAGACGTGAGAATATCTATATGGACGGGGCTGGGAGGTGGTGGTAGGGGTGATAAGGGAGAGGGGGTCTTTACAGTAGGAATTACCATTTACTGAGCACCTCATATGTAACAGGTACATGCAAAGAAGCTTTTATAAACATTATCTCCCAAAACTTATCACTTCCACTTAAGAGGATACAGAAACTGAGAGAAATTAAGTAACTTGCTTAGGAATACGCAGCTGGGATTCAAATATAAGTATGACTGACTCCAAATTTCTACTATACCTAGTGGAGGAGAAGCTAATTATCACTTCACCCATTTTGGTGACTCAATAGCCAAGAAAGAGGATTCAGAAGGAAGGGCGGGAAACAGCGATGGCTGCGGGAGAAGGGAGGTGGTAAAGGGAAAGATGAGTTCATTCTGAGATGACTGAGTGTATGTTTCTGCTGGTAGTTACATGGTGATATCTAGAGGTAAATATATAGTACTCCAGAACTCAGGGGAAATGTCTACGTGGAAGACAGAAGAAACTTCAGAAAAAAAGGTCTGTGGGGAAGACAGAGGAAATCTAACTCATGCTGGTGGGAGAAGTGAACGGAAGCACATATTTACTGAGTGCTTCGTAGTGGTTAAAAGCTCAGCTGCTAACCAAAAGTTCCGAAGTTCGAACCCACCAGCTGCTCCCTGGAAACCCTATGGGGCAGATCTACTCTGTCCTATAGGGTCGCTATGAGTTGGAATCGACTTGATCGCAACAGGTTTGGTTTTTTTTGGGTTTGGTAGTATATGCTAGGTCCTGCACTTAATCACCCTGCTCATTGTTCTCCATTTATAGGTGAAGAGAAAGAGATTAAATGAAGTGACTCATTCAGGGTCACACACAGCTTGTTGAGAAGAAAAGCTGCAAGCACAATCCACAACCTCAGTCCACAGTGCTTTCCACTACACTTTACGCTACTGTTGGCAATGCTTACACTTTGATTTATACAAGGTTGATAAGGCAAAATCTCTCCCCAAATTTCATGCCTGTCTAGAAATAAAACTGTTAGGCAACAAAATGCATACAAATCACCAGTTCCTCAGTGCTTCATACTTATTCACAAAAGATTTTTTAAGATACTAATGTTGCAAATATGCTATAAGTTAGCATTATACTGTTTCATCGGCATTAGTGAATTCTTAGTATGTAAAACACTAATAAGAAAATTTTATAGTGGTACCTGAATGTTTTCTGAGGAATCTTGCTAATTCTTCAATAGTTCTTACACAGTCCAACCCCTGTAACAAAGATGGCACGAAGTACTGAATCAAAAACGGAAGACACGTTCTTAAACCTGGTCATAAATAGTTTCCATTATCTTCAAAAATAATAAAACTAATTTCAACTCATTCTATATACACTTTCCCATTAGGCAAATATCAGAGGTAGCAGGGACTCCGTATTCATAGAAAATATCCTAAGGCTATAAAAACTGCTAAACACCCTACTTCTACTAATTGCTTTTGTAGGTGCAACAAAGGCTGAAAATGGGAAGGAACCCTGTGGGCCCAGAGTGCCCACGAAGTCTCAGACCATGGGCAGGAACCTCTATTCTTTCCCACTACATGATTATTATCACTCATGAGTACCCTAGGTGTCAGAATAAATAAGAGGGGCTTCTGTGCCCCTACTCTTTCCAGGTAGGCCTTCATTACAGTTTAATTAAGAGCTGTGAATTGCTGTGGAGAGTGATTATGCTCACATTACATTTCCCCAAGGCCTAGGCAAAAATAGAATGCACAAACGGAAGTCACATAGAAACATGATTACTATTTCAAAAAATCATACATAAATACATTTTGATGGTTATATACATCCCAAAACATACTTGGTATTTTACTTTGGAAATGCTCTCAAAACTCATTTATAAGCCATGTAAAAAAGTCAGTTTTGAGGAGGTATAATAAGTCATTCCACGTGTGGGACCCAAGCTTGCTTATCCACTTTATTCATGAAACTCAGGCTATATAACTTTTGGCTATTTTCCCAAATCAGATACACCTTTGTAAGACAAAGACTTGAAACTACAAAAAAGATGTAAAACTATCTTGATCAACAGCAGCATCACTCACTTGCATATGTATCATCTGGACTGTTACTAAAAGCAAAAAAAAAAAAAAAAAAA